GTTTTATTTACATGGTGGGTTACATTGATTCTTTTTCTAATGTTGAACTATCCTTGCATACCTGAGATGAATCTCATTTGGTAAATTAAAAAAAAATCCTGGTTGGAGTCTATTGCCTAGGATTTTGTTGAGAAATTCTACATTTATGTTCATAATAGATACTGGTTTGTCATTTCCTATTCTGGTGAGGTCTTTGCCTGTTTGGGTATCAGGATTATACTCACTTCATAAACTGAGTTCAAAAGTTTGCTGTCCTTTTCTGTGATGGAATAATTTGTGTAGAATTGGAATAAACTCTTGGAATCCTTGGTAGAATTCCCTGAAGAAGCCGTCTGACCCTGGCCTTTGGCATTGTTGTGGTGGGGAATATTTTGATGACCCGATATATTTCTTCTTTTGTTATGGGCCTGTGTATAGATGCATTTCTAGATGTGTGTGTGTGTGTGTGTGTGTGTGTGTATCCACTCAAACTAATTGCCATCAAGTTGAGGTCAACTTACAGACACCCAATTAGAGAGAATAGAATTGCCCCTGTGAGTTTCTGAGACTGCAACTGTTTACGAGAGTTGAAAGCCCTCTCTTTCTCCTGCTCTTGGTTTTGAACTGTGGCCTTGCAGATCGCAGTCCAATGAGTAACCTCTATGCCACCAGGGCTTCATATGTGTATATATATGACTACATATGTGTATATGGAATATTCAACAAATATTCCTTAATCATCTAAGAACTAAGTTGTCCTACATACTTGGCATATATGATAAGACAAAATACCATATATACTCGAGTATAAGCTGAGTTTTGCAGCACATTTTTAATGCAGTTTTTGTGGTAAAGGTGCCTGGGCTGATATTCGGGTTGACTTATACTTGAGTATATATGGTAGATAAGGCAGCTGTACTTAAAAAATTTACACTGTTGGGGGAGGAGATAAATGAGAAACAATTAGGAAAGCAGTGACAGAGATACCATATTTACAGATCATGGAGACTAACACAGATTTAAACTGCGTGGTCAGGGAGGGTCCATGGAGGAGGAAGCCTTTCTGCAAACACACAGCTGTAAGGTGGAGATGACCTGGAATAAAATTTCTAGGAAGAAGAATCAAAAGTGGAAGACCCTGACTTCTTGAGGCCTGTAGTTTTCTTATTTCACTCCAGAAACAAGGCAGTAGTATGGAAAGCAATGAACTGCAGCTGAGGAGTGAGTAGATGCTGAGGTTGAAGGGAAGGGCAGGGACAGATGACAGATTCTCAGACTACATACGAGAAGGTATAAAAATTTGTGCTGAGGACACTGGGGAGTCCCTAGAGGACTTTCGGTTCATCAAAAGTTGGCAAGTTTCTGTTTTGAGAATGGTGAGGGCAACAATGTACACATGTGCTTGACACCATGGATGGATGGATTGTGATAAGAGTTGTACAAACCCCCAGTAAAATGATTTTTTTTAAGTTTGGCAATTTTCAGTGTTTGTATGTAGACTGGACCCTATGTGTATATGGACGTGTGATTGTAAAAATGTCCGTGTTTATATGTACTGTATATACATGCACGTGTTAACAGGCATAGGACCTTCCCACATAATTCTCAAAAGTGTTTCTACAGTGAGAATAGGCCCTGACTCAGATTCTTCTCATCTTCATTAGGCAACTTCCTAATCTCTATTAGTGCAGAAAAGACAAGAGACACTACAAGAACTCCACTCTTCCTAACTTGCCCATCTCTGGAGCAACTTCCAGAGATGTTTCTGCTCTTTGGGCAATGAGGAAGGAAGTGATATCCCGACTGCCGTGTAGAATAGCTCTTTAAGCATTGGAATTTCCACTTAAACTAAGGAGTGAGGGAGAAAGTGGGGGGAGAAAGAATTGACTCCAGCACCCTACTGCATCCAATGGAAGAAAATTGGCACGCAGTTAAGTAACAAGGTAACTGGGCCAGGCAGTGAAACTCTTGCTCTATTCTTCCCTTCTGGAACTGATGATGATGATGCAGATGCAGTTGTGAGGCTTTTGAGATTAGAAGTAAGGAGGCAGGGGGTGGGTGGGTGGGCTTGAGGGTTCTTACCAATGCATTGTGCTCCTCAGTGAGGTTGGAGGGCAGGGTGTCCATGTATGAATCTTTCAAGGGCTTCCAACCCAGCTGATGAGGCTCCATGTAGATCATTCCACACCTGCCAAACACAAATAGAGTAAGTCTGTCCACATCTGGGCTCTTGGGCACAGAGGGGTGAGGCAAATGAGATCAATTAAAAGTTAGAGTTTGGGTCAGGGTGCTGATGATAACAGACCAATGATAAGAGCTAGGTTGTGATAAGAGTTGTATGAGCCCCTAATAAAATTATTTTTTAAAAAAGAGCTAGGTCTTTGAAGTCAAAGACACATGGATTCAAATTCCAGCCTCAGAATCTACTATGGCCATAAGTAGGCTACTTTCTATTAATTTACTTGTTGTCGGGCAACAACCAATTGCTTTCAGTTGTGCAATCATTTCCACTCTACTTTCCCAAGTTGCTCTTCCATTAACATTAACTCACTGTCTTCTAGGTTTCCTAACTAATTTTTTTTTTAGTAACTGTCATCAATTTGGTCTCATAATGTCCTTTCTTGAATGTCCTTGAATTTTTGAGCCCTTGTCTGAAACATGAGAGATAGATTTAGTTTCTAAGTCTGCTACAATGATTAAACAAGAAAATGCCAATGTCATCATGCCCTGAAAATATCTGTTATCAAGAAGATTCTGACTCATAGAGCCTACAGGACAGGGTAGAACCACCTGACTGGATGCCCAAGGCTTTAGGTTTTATGGCAGCTGACTGCTACATCTTTCTCCTGAAGAGTAGTACCTGGTGGGTTCCAACTGCCCAGCTTCTGGCCAGCAGCTGAGTGCTTAACCACTACACCACCATGGGTCCCTTGTCCAGCACATAAAAGACCCTTAATCAACAGCAGTTCTTATAAATACCAACTTACCAACACAGCACTTCATGTAATCTGGGTCCTTCTCCCCGCCATCCTATGGCATGTAGATTCAATCTTGTTTCTTATTAACACTGGCTACCATTTATTGAACATCTGTTACATGTTTAACACTATGCTAGCTTCACCTCTAAATTGCCCTCCTGGTGATATGCATGTTAGACACAAGGAATTGGTGGTTCAGTGAGGTTAAATGACCTAGAAGGGGTCACGCAGCTGCCACATGGGATAGTCAGCTGAGAGCCTGTGCTGGTATAACTTGCCATGTGTTCTTTCAACTTCATGCCATTGACTTTGGGAAAGTGGGTTTTAAAACTCTAATATTTTATGGACTTCCGATACACAGATGTAGATTAATGATCTTTCTTGCACACTCATCATTAACTTATGCATGGGCTGGCCTTTTCTATTTAATTATTTTCAATAATATAATAAATGCCCCTGAACCCAGCACTCAGACCAAAGCTGGGATCTTGACAGCAATCATATAATTTGTAACCATGTGGTCACAGCTTATCCTTCTCCCCTGACCTCTCCCCTGAGGTACCAAACATCTTGAATCTTTTGATCACCTGTTCCTTGCTATGCTCCCCTCTTGGATAGTTTCTATAATATTTCTATATATTCATCATTTTTAGTTTTAGCTCTTTTTAGCAATTTAAAAGAATCACTGTGCTATATATTGATTAGTTAAACCTATTTTCTTTGCTCCTTAATATCTTTACTAAGTGTTAGCCATATCTCAGATACCCACAGAGGTAGTTCTACCCTATCCCATGGGTTGCTATGAGCCAGCTGGCAGTGAGTGATAGAGTTACATGTTAGTATAGTTCACTTATTTTGAGTGCTACATCAACATTACAACCTATGACTATGTTTCATTTCATTAATTTCCTCCTTTAAAAGGTTATCTGGGTGGGAAAAAGCTTCTTTTGAGCAGATCCTTGGGAACAGAATTCTTGGCTGCTGGGTGTATGGATGCTTAACTTTTTTTTTTTTTTTAAATATGGAACGCTTCACGAATTTGCGTGTCATCCTTGCGCAGGGGCCATGCTAATCTTCTCTGTTGGATGCTTAACTTTAAAAGAACATGTTAAACTCTTTTCCAAAGAGTTTGCTCAAATTTAGACTCCTGCCAGATGTGGGCTCAGAACAGAGGTTATGACTCACCTAAGTAAGCACGGATCACCCAGGTGGAAGGCTGGGCTTCCTCACACTGGTGGACTTTTCCATTCCCCCACGCCCTCGGCAGCAGGCCAACGGGGCCACAGCTTCCCTCAAGGCGCCAAAGCACCAAGTGACTGACCTGCTTACAGTTGCTGGTGAGGCCTGCTCCAGGTCAGCCGGCTCGAAGAGCAGGCTCATCTTGGGGCTCATCTGGATGATCTCGCCACTCATTAGGCACAGCTCCAAGGACAAAGCAGAGAGGCAGAGCGCAGGCAGAGAGAAACCACAATGCCAGTGAGAAACTTCATTGGAGCTAGAACTTGTTCAAATTTATTCAACACAGATGACCACCAGTATGCCAACACCATAATGATATTGGTGAAGACTACTGAATATACTGTAGACACCAGAAGAAGGAATACATCTGTTTTAGAAGAAGTACAGTAAGAACACTCATGTGAAGTAAGGGCTGCAAGACTTACTCTCACTCCCTTTAGACATGTTATCGGAGGACCAATCTCTGGAGAAGGCTATCATGCTTGGTAAAATTGAGGGTTGGCCAAAAAAAAAAAAAAAGAGGAAAATCCTCAAAGAGGCAGACATAGTGGCAACAACAACGGGCTTAAACACAGGCGCAATCGTGGGGAGGGGGCAGGCCTGAGCAACATGTTGTGCCGTGCTACATAGGTTTGTTTTGAGTATAACCTGAGTTGATGGCACCTAACAACACTGTATAAAGCAAGATGCTAGGTGCAGGGGATAAAATAGAAAAAGTACTTTGGGGTTCAATTCTGCTAGGAGATAGGTCCTAAGAAAAATATATAGTTTATAAAATAGCGAAAGTTATATGGAGAAATATAAAATGTAGAAGAGGGATTAGAGAATGGAACTAAAATACGATTGCTTGTCGTCACGGTTGAGTGAGTTGTCATTTTAAAGTTAGGACTCCATGAATATCAGCCTTTTGATGTCAAGGACCAGGAAGTTCCTAGAGTTTTTTTTCATAGTCCCTTCCTCAGTGTTTACTTAACCTGGGATTTGATTGCACACTTTCATTTTTTTATAAATATTTTCTCACTTGTTTTATGGACTACTCCTTTGGAAGTCTCCATGCAGGGTGCCCCAAGGCTAGAGTACCAGGAGTCTCTCCCTAAATCCTTTGTGGAATGGAATGCAAGACCATCAGAAGTTTTGCAGATATCTCTTGTACAAAGTACTGCAAATAAGAGGGTCTCAGAAGACACTAAGTCGGTAGTGCAGCTTCCCATTTGCCAATAAGAGTCCAAGGGAGGTGTATGAGCCACAAGATGGTCAGAGGCCTTGGTCCCTTAGGGGTGGGAAGGAAATGACACTCCCTTCCAAGGGTCATCCTGATTTCTGCATGAAAATCTTCCTGTATGTTACCTGACCCATGTCAAACCCATGTTGAAAGAGGTCACTGTGTACATACCCAGCAAGGTCACAATGTTTGGGAGGCAGACACAACCAGGAGTGGCATCTCTGCTTCCGAAGAAAAGTGAAATAGACATGCACCTGTGACCATAGTTTCGATTTATACCAAGGGATGAGACGAACAATTAGAAGATTTACTTAATAACATGTCTACTCCTTTCACATCTCTTATTCTTCTACAGCAGTGGTTCTCAACCTTCCTCATGCCACAACCCTTTCCTACAGTTCATGTGGTGCTGACCCCCAACCATAAAATTATTTTTGTTGCTACTTCATAACTGTAATTTTGCTACTGTTATGAATTGTAATGTAAATATCTGATGTGCAGGATGTATTTGCATTGTTACAAATTGAACATAATGAAAGCAAAGTGATTAATAAAAAATATGTAATTATATATTTTAAAATATTTATTTCTAATTATAAAAAAATGAAATTTTGTCTTGAAAAAAAAAATTCACTTAATAGGACTCTCTTGATATTCCTAACCTCAAGACCAACCTCAACAACTGGACTATTAAAGTTATATAAGATAGTCCACATCATATAATAAAATTTATTTCTATTTTTAAAAGTTATATAATCAAAATTATGCAAATGGTAAAATTAGTGAATGTGTATAATTTAGGTAATTGGGTCTTCTATTGTTAAGCATGACTCACTCTTGTGAAATTTAGGCAGTTATGAAAATATATTTTGATTTGATAATGACTTAAATTCAGTATAGGAACCCTTCCTTAAAATGGCAATATATTTTAACAAACACTTATAAAGAGACTTGGCACTTTGGGTCTTGAGTAGTAACTAAAAAGTAGGCAGTTCAAACCCACCAGCTGCTCCAGGGGCAAAATATAAGGCTGCCTGCTCCCGTAAAGATTTATAGTCTTAGACACGGGCTTTGAGTTAGAATCAACTCCACGGAAGTGGGCTTGGTTGGATATATAGCACTTCTCATGAGTTAAGCAGTATTATAAACAGTTTTTAGACAGTAATTGATTTAACCTTCCCAACAACACTATGAGGTAATACTATTTTACAGGTGCTGAAACTGAGGAATGGGGAGATTAAAAGCATGTCCAAGACTATATAGCTATTAAGTGGCAGAGTTGGAACCCAGGCAGTCTGCTCAAGAGTCTCAGCTCTTCAACTCTGATGTGAACTTTGACAGACTGGATTTTCCAATGATTGCTGCAATACCTTTTATCCACGCTCACTCTGTAATAGGGTCTTGCTCCACCGAGAGACAGGGTCTAGCTCTCTACCCCTTAAATCTGGAGGACTCTATAGTTTCTTTGACTAAGGTAATTCAGAAGTGAAGTGTCAGTTCTGAGGCTAGCTCAAAATTTCTGGTAAATGTCCACTTGTTGCCTCCTATAAGCCAAGCCAGCTACCACATAAGGACACTTTGCTCTAATAACCTGGCATTCTGTGATGCTCACCTTCCCGACATGATTGCTGATGTCAAAATGGGTGCATAAGTAAATGTGGTGAAGAAAGCTGATGGTGCCCGGCTATTAGAAAATACAGCATCTGGGGTCTTAAAGGCTGGAAGTTAAACAAGTGGCCATCTAGCAGGGAAGCAACAAAGCCTACATGGAAGCAGCATACCAGCCTGTGTTATCAGGTATCAGGGATCAGAAGACACAAAACAAACAATCATATCGATCTGAATGAGAGGGTAGGAGTGGATAACCAAAGCTCATCTGTAGCCAATTGGACATCCCCTCACAGAAGGGTCACAAGGAAGTGACGAGCCAGCCAGGGTGCAGTATAGCACTGAAGAAACACAACATTCCTCTATTTCTTTAATGCTTCCTCCCCCTACCCACTATCATGACCCCAGTTCTATTTTACAAAACCGGCTAGACCAGAGCATGTACACTGGTACAGATAAAGATCTCAAAACACAGAATCCAGAACAGATAAATCCCTCAGGAACAATAACAGGAGTAGCAATACCATGAGGGCAAGGGGAAGGTGGGGGGAAAAGATGGGGAGAAAGGGGAACCCATCACAATAACTGATATATAACACTGCACCGCCCCCCTGAGGGGGATGAATATTAGAAAGGTGGGTGAAGAGAGACACGATGGTATAAGATATGAAAATAATAATAATTTATAATTTATAAAGGGGTCATGAGGGTGAGAGGGTTGGGAAGGGAGGTAAAAATGAGGAGCTAATACCAAGGGCTCAAGTAGAAAGAAAATGTTTTGAAAAGGATGATGGCAACATATGTACAAATGTGCTTTATCCAATTGATGTACGAATTGTTATAAGAGCTGTAAGAGCCCCCAACAAAAGATTTATTTTTTTTTAAAGTGCCACAATACAAGAAGGTCCAGCCACGTGGAAATATATGGATGTTGAGATGCTACTTAGAAAGAGGAAGGGAGATCAGGGAGGAATGTGGCTCAGGACACTGAGTGAAGAAGCTATATTGACTGTGGATTCTGCAGCCCGGGGCCACCCCATTGACATCACAAGGATGAGAAACCAACCATCCAACTGAATCCTTCAAAATAATGAACAAAAGAAGTAGTTATTTTAAGCCACTGAGTATGGGTGTAGCTTATTATAAAAATAAGTAATTGAAACACTTAATTCTCAACAATCCTATTTTACTATTCTTTTCTCAAATGAGGAAACTGAGCTTCAGAGATGCTCATTAACTTGCCCAAGACAACCCAGTTTAGTGGTGAAGCGTATGAATTCAATCTGATACCATCACCTAGGTTTTTAATCACTACACAATCTCTAAAGACAGTTTACCAACTCCAGGCACCAACCGAAATATAACTCATGAGTTGACAACTCCTGTTCTCTTTTCTTTCTTACTCTCATTGTTGAAACCCATTTGCCACATGTATGATCCAGTCAAATCAATTATGTTGGGCAATCCATTACCAACATCTATTGCCATATTTTTCATTTCCATAAATAGAAACTCAATACTAGTGAAACAAGACTCCCCTTCTCTACTGCCCTGATAACCACTATTGAACTCTGATCTCTACACATTTGCTTTTCTAAGTGTCTCATATTAGTGAGACCATATAATATTAGAGTTTCTGTGATTGACAGTTCACACAGCATAATGTTTACAAGCTTCATGCATGGCATAGCATGTCTCATTTCTCTTCATGGTATAGTTATTCCATTGTGCAGATATCACATTTTGTTCATCCATTCATCTGTTGATGGGCATTTGTGTTGTTTCCACCTTTTGGCTATTGTGAATAGTGTGGCTATGCCCACTGGTGTGCATGCGTCTTTTTCAGGCCTGTTGGGTATATTCCTAAGAGTGGAATTGCTGGGTCAAAAGGTAGCTCTCCATTTAACTTTTTTGAAGACCCCCCCAATTGTTTACACAACAGTGGTAGCATTTTGCATTCCCACCAGCAATGACTGAGAATTTCCGCACATCCTCGCCAATGTTTGTTATTTTCCATTTTTCCTTGCTTTTTAATCTCAGCCATCCTGGAGCATATGAAGTGGCACTCCCTGATGGCTAATGTTGCCGAGCCTCTTTCAACAGTTACATTATGGTTTGCATATTCTCCTTGATCAAAGATTTTTGTCAGGTCCTTTGCCCATTTCTGGACTGAGTTGTTTGTTAATGTATTAAATATATTATATATTCTTAATCATTATATATCCTGACTGATATCCGACTCAGTAGTTACCTTTTTATTGTCATCCAGAACAGTGTTCATATTTTCAATCCAAACAGCATCCACTGGGCCATCAAATATAATCCACTTGCGATCATCAGATACTGAAGACGCTTGCTCTCGGAAAGTGTTGGCAAGGACACCATCAGTCCACTCATGGCTCACCGGGTCAAAGCACCCATACAGTTGCCCCATGGTGATAGCCTTAGGGTTGATGACCCTGTAATCGACGGCAAACTCCTCCATCTGGTTGGCTGGGCAAGAAGGATCAGTACCAGTTACAAAGAGACTCTGGTGAGTCCAGAACATTAGAGAAAAGATTATTCAAAGACCAACCCACTTCTATGAATATAATATCAAGTATAATCCATTTGGAATATTTGTATAAACCCTGGTGGTGGTGTCAGGTAAGCATTGGGCTGGTAACCACAAGGTTGGTGGTTCAAACCCACCAGCGTCTCCACAGGAAGATGATGAAACCATCTGCTTTCATAAAGATTAACCCCTCGGAAACCGCATATAGAGGCACTACATGTTGATCTTCATACAGTGACAGTGGATTTGGTTTGTGTGGTTTGGGTATAAGCAATGTTTTAAATATTAGGTCACTATAGCCATTAGTTATATTCATTGCCATTTCTTCTGAGGCTCCGTTCAAACAGGGCCAATATGTCAGTCACAAGTAGCACTAAAGAAACCTTCCGTAAACAAGTGACCATCTAGCTCAGAAGCAACAAAGCCCACATGGAACAACATATCAGCCTGTGTGATCACGAGGTGTCGAAGGGATCACTGAAGACAAATGGGTGC